ATCAAAGGAGTGGTTGGTTATTATCGCTCTGGTGGAATTCCACCACTAATGAAAAACAATAAATTTTCAGTTAAACCCCATAAATGTTGTGTTTGTTTATTTGTACATTGGTGAAGTGCTGTTGGATCACAGCCAAGCCTCAGCTATGGAGCAGTGCTGTTTCCACCTCCTGCAGTCTGCTCACGTTTCCATGGTAGCTTGTCACACAAGGCACATTTCCAGTGGACCTGCTTGACTTTTGCACGAGTTGTACTGAAGGCTAGTCAGAGTGGCTTATGCTGAGATGTGTGCAGCCTCTAAATCATTTTCAAATATCCCAATCTAGCCAAATTCAACATATTCTTAACATTGTTACAATAATATTTCTTGCATTTGATATTGGGCCTTTTCAAGGGACGTCCTCCCGATGTGAAAGGTGCTATATAAATGCAATTTGTTGTTGTTTTTGTTAAGTCTCAAAGTGATTCACAGAATTTACCTTAAAGTGTAGTGACTGTGTATTTGTAGATGAACATAATATGCACTTTGCACACAGGCAGCCATAAAATGAATGACAAATTTTTATCTAAGAGATGTTGGCCTGGACACCTAGAGAAACGCCCTTCCATTGACAAAGAAAAAGGTCTTGAGACAGATCGTGAAGGAGGCAAGGGAAGGGGTGAGGCGAATGGACTCTGGGATGGAGTTCCAGAGAGTGAAGGCAGAAAGGTTTGAAGGCCCGACCGCCGATGGTGGGACAGGCAGAGTGGAGGGTGTGAAGCAGATTAGTAAATGACAAGCAGAGGGAATGGGCAGGTTGGTAGGGTATTTAAGAAGGTTGCATAGATAAGGTGAAGCAAGACCGTGGAGGAATTTAAAAGTGAGGAAGAGGATCTTAATTGAATCATAATAACACAAGAATTTTCTGGGCGAAAGAAGACCAAGGTCCATCTAGTTCGCCTTCTACCATCCTGGCAGTCGTTTGACATGTCGTGCCTCAAACTATATGCCGTATCTCGAGATGTTATTTTCTAGCAGAAATCTATCTAATTTGTTCTTGAAACAAACAACATTTTCTGCTTCCACCGTCTCCCTCGAGAGCCTGTTCCATAAGTTTACTACTTGCTCACTGAAGTCGTGTTTCCACAGATTTGTTCTGAATTTACTCCCCTTCAATCGCAGGCCGTGTCCTCTGGTTCTATCATTCAGTACAAGATAAAACAGCTTATCATGGCCTACATTATCTATTCCCTTCAGAATTTTAAAGATCGCAATCATATCGACACTCAACCTTCTCTGCTCCAGTGTGAACATACCCAGTTTATCTAATCGCCTTTCCATCCCCCCCAATCATTTTGGTTGCCCTCATCTGTTATCCTCTCAATCGCTGCAATATCCATTTTATATTGCGGTGACCAGAACTGGGAGACAAGGAGTCAGTGGAGCTGGACGAGGTGGGAGGGTGGGTGGGTGGTAATAGGTTTAGAGTAGTAAGACAATTGAGTGCAAGTTTAAAGTGATTCATTTGCTCTCCATCTGAAATGCTTATTCATGTTTCTTGTGAATCACTCACATTTGTGCTTGAAGGGCCACCTCATTTTGTCCGTCACAGAAATCCATTTTTCATCATTGATATGTGCTCATAAAAATTTACTGCCATACGTTTAATGTAGCACTCCACCGCTTTGGAAAGCACGAGAGTTTGTTTGCTTTCTTGTTGCCCGTCTTTCAACAGGGAGCTGGAGACAGGTGTCTCGGCCTGTTTGTACAAGTATATTAGTTCAGTGGTCACCACGTGGCAGGGTTTTGCTGCATCTGTTCAAAAAAGTCATCAGTTCATTCTGTGACTCCTGGTATAAACACTGCTGCACAGACGTGAAGCTAGCTCTTAATACAGGTTCTGTCACAGATGAAATCAGGCCCTTTGGCAAAAATGTGAGTCATTCAAAGGATTACTGTTGAAAAGACATGGGAGTGTTTCAGATGTAGAGCAAATCAGCCATTTTAAACTTGCATTCAGTTAGGTTATTGCTCTACCATCAAAAAAAAGGCAGCAGAGTTTGGGATATAGGTTTTGTGGGTTTTAATAATAATAATGATAATGATCCTTGCATTTGATATAACACCTTATCATTTCTTTGAGACGTCTCAAGGGCTTCACTGAATATACTGTAAGATGTATTAACTACAAAAACTGGGCAAAACGCAGCAGTTAATTGACGTGTCTGGACGGAAGGTGGTTTCCATTTGTGCCCATTTAGAGATAGGAAGGAACTCCCCCTCACCCCCCCCCCCCCCACCTCCCATAATACGGAAGTACAGAATATGTAAACATATTGAAGTTGAAAATACCGTATCTGTAAATCTGAAATGACTTCAATTCATAAGGAGGCATTAAGACACACAGTGAGTGAACATTCATCATCATGTTAGTTGAAAAGCTTTGTACTCTTGTCAGACCATGCAAGAGTAGCAACATTTGCATACATAGTATGTTTCTTGGCTTCTGTCCACATTATCTGTACATCAAAAGATGTACTGTACCATATAATTTACATGGAGAATAACTACCTTCACTTTTTTTTTCCTCCTGAGTTACCCTCTGTTTATTAAAAGCTAAAATTAAAGAAGTGCCCCTCAGATCACAATATTCAGAGTTGAATGTTCAACTCTCATTCATGCAGATTGCAGGAACATTGCAATCATTCTGTCACTGATTGCTCCAGGAGTCATTCAGTCTCATTCTCATTCTGTCGATCTTTTTTAATGTTGGCTGCAAAGTGTCGTAAAACCCGTATGACACAGTAGAGCACAACACTTTGTTTTTCGGTTCATTTCATTTCGGTTCAGGAATTAGGTGTGGACTCTGACATTTGCTTATTAAAAAAATCCGAAAAGGTGGACAAAAGGCTGGCCGGCATCCTGTACACTAAAACATGAGCGGTTTTTGAGCCAACAGATCGTATCACCTCTGCATTAAGACGTGACAGTTGCAACCTGATGGAAAACTGGAAATCAGCCATTTTGGATTCCTGTTCACGAAAACAGGCATGGTGATGGGTTTACACAAATGTCAGACCCCAAAAATACTCCTGGAAGTGACTTCACTTTCACCACTTCACTTCCACCATTATAAATGCAGATTTCATTTCAGAAATCTGAAGGTTAACCTTGCAAGATTGGATTTATACTGGCCTTTACATAGGCAGTCATGGAACCTTTTTTTATTTGTACAAGAAATCATACCTTGACGTTGAGGGCTGAGAGGTTACACTGAATTTTTATATAATATTTTTCAAAAGGGTCGATGCCTTGTACTCTTCATCCATGAGTTGACACTTTCATTCTGTCATCTCCACGTGGATATGGTAAATGGTGTGCACTGTAGAGACCTGTTTAATCATTCAAACAGTCATTAAAATAAGCAAAAGTTTTATTAATCGTTTCAATTTCAGTCTGAATGTTGCAAATAACACTGGGTTTTTGCCATTTGCAGGATCATGGCATTGAAATACATTAGTGTTGCTATTTATACTTGCACCAGCTTCTAAGCATAGATCCCAGCAGTATTAAGCTGTAACTGTGCACAGTTATGTAAAGAGGGAGTGTTAAAAATGCATTCCTCAGGAAAGCAGTTATGTTACTGGTGTTTTGATGCTGGAGAAAGGACTTTGATCCAGAAGTTAAATCAAGATCCCAACTGCCTGTTCAGGTGGACGTTAAAGATGCCACAGCACTATTCGAAAAGAAAAGGGAGTTTCTCCCTGGGAGCGTCTTGGCAAACAATCCCAGAGATAAAATTGGTTGTTTAGTTCATGGCTGTTTGTGGGCATTGCTGTTCACAAATTGGCTGCTGGGTTCATCTAGAAATACACAGTCATTACACGTTACACTAGTTCATTTGAAGTGCTTTGAGATATCTCACTGCCAAGATAATGTTCTGTATCAAATGTAAGGATTATTATTATTACTTCTGACGTAGACTGCTATTTTTGAGGTGAAACCTATGTACCTCACCTCATGAGATTTTTGCTTCAAGCCTGAGCTCAGGCCGAGCTGAGATCTCACCAGTTGCCATGAGGTGTACGGATTCCCTGCAGAAAATGTGATTTACGTTATAAAGAAGGCTTCTGCAGCAGCTGCAGCAACAACTAGGCAGCTCTCCTGAGAAACACTTTTTAAATCCCAATAAAGTTTCTGAAAATCAAGCACTTTGGTATTCTCTGTTCAGTAAAGCAAATCTTCTGATTTGCACTGATAATGGGCTGTCTTGTTGTAACCCCACATTGAAAGGTTTGCTAGAATGAGCAAACGGAACATAATACATCTCTCTCTGCACCCCCCCCCCCCCCCCCCCCCCGGTGATTACAACAGGTGGGTTAGTCTCCAGAGCGCTTGTTTCTTCCAGAAATTGATGCTGAAATTTACATGTGCTGTCAGAAGATGAGCTTTCACAGCTGTCTGTGCACTGCTCATGTATTTGTATAATCTTAATAATGAACTGATCCTTGCATTTGATACATCACGCCTCAATATCTCAAAGTGGTTCACAGTAATCACTGTTAAGTGTAGTGACTGTGTATTTGTAGGCAAACATGGCAGCTAATTTGCACAGAACAATGCCCATAAACCCCCAAGAGGCGAATGACCAATTTTATCTGGCAGAGTGTTGGCCAGACACCCGGAGAAATGAGTCCTCTTTTTGAATAGTATTCCAGCGATTTCTGTAATGTGCAACTGAATAGACAGACATGACCTCAGTTTAACATCTCATCTGAAGGATGGCACACACCTCCAACAATACAGCACTTCCCCAACACCCTGCTGACGTTTAAGTCTCTAGACCATGACCTCAAAATTCTCCGACCCTAGACCCGAACCTACAACTTTTTGTTGATCTAATGGAGGTGGGTGGGGGGCGGGGAGATGTAATGTTCATTGTTACCCTTTCATTTCAAGCTTGTTCTGTGCTGCATTATTTCCTTTGTGTTAAAATGTGCTTTTCTCTGTGTGTTTCACAGGCAGTGATGCTGAGCGCAGCTTTTCAGGCAGAGAGACATTTCCTGCTGATGGCCTGTAAGCTGCAGCAACCTTTGCAGGTGGGTAATTACATCACGCAGAAAAGAAAATGATCTGTTGGGAGAAGTGAAAAAGGTAAAACTGGCAAATAAAATCAATGTTTCAGCTTTGAAAGGAGTGAATAGTTCCAAATGTAGCTACTGCTGGTAAAAGTCCAGTCACTGGAAGAAGCAGCTGGACATCAAATGGCCAGGTTCCTTTTCGTGTTTCTGATGTCGACAGAGGTGGCACAGGGAGGGGGTGAAGTGGAGTTTGAAGTTGCCCATTAACACCAAATTCAACACATGTTGGTGAAACATACTATTACTACTACATAGCAATTCTTGTGAAGAGCTTTAAGATCTTCCGACGTCACTGTTATTATTTCATTATTATTATTGATTACAGAGAAATCTGATAGATTACATGACTTGTGTGAGAATTCAGTCTTTGGAATTCTATTTGCATCCTGTTTGAGATTCACAAAGTCCAAGAGCAAATCTCAGGGTAACTTGATTTGCTCACATTCATTGGAATTCACATTAAATAGAAAGCTGAAAAAATGAAACTGTGTTAAGACTTGGCAGAATGCTTGGATGCTCATGTCTACGGTATAATGGAAAGGATTTAAGTGAATTGCATTCAAGTTAGTAACTTTTAATGAATGTTAATCAGGGAAGAGGAGTTTATTTTGCTTTACCACTGTTGATGTGTCACTCCTATAGCAAGTAATAATTTTCTTTAATGAAGATGATTATCATCTTGCAGTGACGTGGGCCTAAGAGCCATAGGAGCAAACAAGTCTAGTTGCGCAGAGTCAGGCAACATTGTACTGCATTAAACTGAAGCAGTGAAGTAAATCTATAGTAAAACACAAGGCAAAAGGAACCCATGGTTTTGTGTGTAAAGCAGCAGGTCTTCACGACAAGCATTTCCGTACTGGTTTTAAAGGAAATATTCTGGTGACACAGACCGTGTTCCACTGTGTTGGTGCGTCATTTTGATGTTGAAAACGTGGCTCTTCTCCCCCGTTTCACACAAAACAACTTTGTCAAACTTTCTTTGAGCTGAGATAACAGGGGTCACCAAATGCTGTTCACTGGCTTTTATTGCACACTTGTAATGGGGTAATATAGTTATAATCCAACAATAACAGTAAGAACTTGCATTTATATAGCGCCTTTTACGTGGGGTTGTTACTCGGAGCGCTTAAGTGAGTGCCAAAGGTACTTAGTGAGGGCTCACAACCGCTCAGTGGGACACCAACATATAATATCCTATGTTTCTTCAGTGGGATAGTTCAGAACAGACAACAGCAGACAGCTTTACAATAAAAAGAGAAATAAATACTTTGTGGACACAATTATATGTTGTCAATACTGTACAAAGTTCAGTCGGCTCTAATACCAACACAGGTAAAACTAACCGATCCCTGCTCCTAGCTCAGGGTTGGTCTCTTTCTTTCAGTAGCAGTTTCTCTGGACTGATGCTCTCTTTCCAAGATCAATTTTCTCTATCTTCTTTATTTCAAAGCTTAAGGACCACTGAATTAGTCAAATTAAATGGCCCCAGCCTGCCTCTGCTGTTCTGCTATAGCTTTTTTGCAAGTTCTAGACATGAGAGAAAGTGCACTCACTCCATGCCAGAATGCAATACTTTCAGATATTCCAAGGTATTTCAGATATTGAGAGGGCACAGGTTCAGGATTGTGAAGTGGAACTTTCGCACATACTTCAAGGAGCATTTCTTTAAACTGGGGTAATTAATGTCTAGGACAGGTTACAAGGAAGAATGGTAGAACTCAGGGCACTGGACTCTTTCAAGATCATCCTATGTCCAGAATTTTCAAGTTACATTCACATGTAAATCTTCATAACACAGAGGCCCAAGACCACAACACTTGCTAAGTCTGAGTAACTAGTTAAACATCTGATTTATATCCAAAGCTTTGCACATTTAGAACTGTCTGAGATCATCTATGTCTGTTTCCAACAATCTGATAACCTAAAACGGCAGCTTGTTGGTGAACCTAAAACAGGAAAGAAATGATTAGCTTATCCTAATCCATATGAAGGTAGAAAAGAAAATGAACGGGTCAAATGTTGTATGTATGTATGAATGAATGAATTTTTGAATGAATGGGGAGAGCGTGTTACTCTCTTTCTACTGCCCAGACTGTTTGCTTTGTTAATGCGATGTTGTAAATGAATGGTTTGTTGCTATTAGCGCAGGATGGATTTGTAGACATTCAGAGAAAGCAGCCTCGATGGAGTCTGATAGGATTTGATTACTTCCTGTTATATCGTGGAACTAAAAGCTATTTCGAAAGCATAAGACAATACTCAGTACCCTTATAACAACTGAGAGGAAAGTCAGTCGTGTGTGTGTGCTTCAAATTTACTAATCTTTTTGCTTTTCGGCACATTTATACTGTGTTGCAGTGTTTGATACCCGACTCCTTGCAGAGTCATCAGAATATGTTTTGTTCAGTAGTGTGAGCTGGTAGAAGGATACTGCTCGTGATGATGGGTTAAGTAATGTCAATAGGCTACAAAAGTATGCTTTGCAATGAAAGGAATACATTAAACTAATGGTTTTGCAAAGTCAGTGGGGAAGTTGAATAATGGGAGCTGAGGGCTTTGGTGAATTCACTGAGTGTCTGTCTTTGAAACGCTTCTGTATCCATTTAATTTATAAGTTGGCACCAAATGAGTGTTGTAGCTGTGGGAATGAGAAGATCCAAAGAGAGATCAACAGGTTTAATGTAATTTTGGATAACAGGGACTTTGTCACTTCTCTCATATTTTTGAGTCTGTTATTGGTTTACCTGAGGCACGTGAAATATACAACTTGGCTAAATTCTCCATTGTTATTGCTGGATTGGCTGCTGCCATTAGTAGTTAGACTTTCAATTTACAGCTGAGTTTTACAATTAAGAGCAGTTTTAGTGCAGTTATGAAAAACTGAATCCAGATAAATTGACCATTCATCTCAAGCGCTCTGGGCACTATATAAAGGCAAGTTGTTGTTGTTGTATTTGTAGGATCTTGCTGTGCAACAATAACTTGCATTTATAGAGCATCCCTCACGCAGGTTAGTGACTCAGAATGCTTAAGCCATGTTTGCCGAGAGTAACAGTCCAACTGCTGTGCAAATTAACTACCATGTTCAATAACAAAAACACAGTCACTACATTTTACAGTAAATTCTGTAAAGCACTTTGCAATGTTCCCCGGACATGAAAGGAGTGATATCAAATGCAAAGGTTAGTATTCATTTGCTAAGGAGGTTTACTTGGGCTAGCACACGGTGTACGGACAGCCTTCATTTCCTTGGCCAGCTTCCAAATCCTTTGTAGCTAGTTCTTCCCGCCAATCTCCTCCCTACCCACCTGTGGCGTTTGGCAGACGTTAGCTGAACAAATAAGTTTTACTTTTTTTGTGTTTAAACAAAAATGTCTTACTGCGACACTATGATGGTGTTTAAGCCAGAGTAATGACAACCTACGTGTGCTGGGAGGTGAAGAGATGCCAAACCAATTTTTAAGGATATATTTAATATTTTGAAAGTTGCACCTAAAATATATGTCCCTTTTTGTCCTGGAGTTGATACAGGAGCCTGCACATTGGTTGCAGCCTAACAGCACAGACAAAAGAACCTCTCTTTGGATTGTTGGTAACTAAAAAGGATAATCTTAACAAACTGGTGTGGCCAGACCACATAACCCTGTTAGAATACATCAATAATTCCTGGGCTAAGTCAGATAACTAAAAATACATCCCACACATGTAAAACTACAACCTGGACATGTATAACACACTTCATGTAGGGGTTTCATGGAGAATACTCAACAGGATATTTCAGGACATCAACCCAATGTCCAGGTAAAAGCACAAAAGGATATGCTCTTAAGAAGGTTTTGAAGTCGGGAGGGAGGAAACAAAGAAAAGAGATTTTGCAAATGAGTTCCATAGAATTGAATCATAGAATATTACAGCACAGAAGGAGGCCATTCGGCCCATTGTGCCTGTGCCGGCTCTTTAGAATCAGTCCCACTCCCCTACTCTTTCCCCATATTCTTGCGTTTTTTTCCTTTTCCAGTACCTTTCTAATTCCGTTATGAAAATTGTTATTGAATCTACCTTCACCAGCCTTTCAGGCAATGTATTCCATATCATAACAACTTGTGTAAAAAAAATGTCTCCTCATCTCCCCTCTGGTACTTTTGACGATTATCTTAAATCTATGTCCCCTGGTTACCGACCCTCCTACCAGTGGAAACGGTTTCTCCCTGTCTACTCTTATCAAAACTCCTCAAAATTTTGAACACCTCTATTAAATCTCCCCTTAACCTTTTCTGCTCTAAGGAGAACAGTCCCAGCTTTTCTAGTCCCTCCATATAACTAAAGTCTCTCATTCTTGGTACTATTCTGTTAAATCTCCTCTGCACCCTCTCCAAGGCCTTGATATCCTTCCTAAAGTGCGGTGCCTAGAATTGGACCTGATACTCCAGCTGAGGTCTAACTAACAACAACAACAAAATTACATTTATAGAGCGCCTTTCACGTCGGGAGGACGTCCCAAAGCGCTGTACAGTCAGGTGTCGGGGTCCGAGCATGGGGGAGGGGTGGTGTAGGGGTGAGGGAAGGCAGAGAGGTGGGAGGGAGACCAAAGGCACAATCTAAGAGAAGGGTCTTGAGACCGGCCTTGAAGGAGGCAAGGGAGGAAGCGAGGGGAAGGGACCGTGGGATGGAGTTCCAGAGTGTGGGGGCAGAGAGGCTGAAAGCCCGGACACTGATGGTAGGGCGGGTCGGGCGTGAGACATAGAGCAGGCTGGAGCGCTCTGACTGAAGCCCGCTAACCAGTGACTTATAAAGGTTTAGCAGAACTTCCTTGCTTTTATAGCCTATGTCTCTATTTATAAAGGCAAGGATTCCATATGCTTTTTTTAACAGCTTTATCAACCTGTTTGCCACCTTCAAAGACCTGTGTATGTGAACCCATACATCTCTGCTCCTGAACCCCCTTTAAAACTACCATT